GCACTGCATGTCATCTTGTGGAAGACAAATGCTCTATAAATAAATTGATTTGGAACAGTCTCAAATACACAAAAACCACAATGTCTTTAAATGTATGTCTTGACTTTTTTTTTTCCCCTCATTTTCTTTCTCCTATTGAGAGGTCAGCAAGGAAGGTTCTGCAAGAGAGGCCTTAATAAAATTCAACCTAAGAAACCAGGAAGAACTTTTCTGTATTGTCTTTAAACAGACATATTTCATTACCACATATTTGTTTAAAAGCTCTTTGATTCAATACATCTGTCTGTAAGCATGCACCTGTATATTATACTCAAACTAGTTATACATTATACATCAATCCCTTTAAAAATCCATTTTCTAGAAGAACTGATTATTCATTTTGTCATTCAATTTCTGATCATTAAAAATTTCACATGTAAAAGCACTGCCTACTGGTGGGGTATTGTATAAAGAGAGAATATTCTTAATGATTAGCCTGAAGGAAAAAAAACTGTTGATGGCTCTTCCATCGAGGAAGAATCAGAGACAAATGTCTGAGGAAAATCTTAGACTTGGGTGATATCAGAATGAAGGATAATGGGAGAGTGACCTTAGGGCTCTGATTTCACCTCAATTCTGACACAGTTACCCACTTTTAAGTAACATTCTCAGTGGTAGAGTGTGTTTCATTCGTGAGTGAAAGTAGCTCAGCTGTGTCCAACACTTGGCAATCCCATGGACTATAGCATGCCAGGCTCCTCTGTCTATGGAATTCTCCAGGCAAGAATACTGGAACGGGTTGCCATTCCCTTCTCCAGGGGATCTTCCCAACCCAGGGATGGAACCTGGGTCTCCTGGACTGCAGGCAGATTCTTTACTGTCTGAGCCACCGGGGTAGCCCATGTTTCATTGGTGGGTAAGTTAATTAAGCCTTCCCCCTGTGACATCAATACATCACCAAGTTAGCAAGGACAATAGAAGCACACGGGGCGGGGTCCAGAGTTTTTACTGCATAGTCATTCATCTGACAGGAAGGTCACTGGGTCGCCAACACTAATCGAAAGAGCTCTTACTTCGTGTCTGATTCACATGACTGAAAGAAAGAGAATCCACCTCTGGTCTAGTGAAAGAAATACTTTAGATGGCTTGAGAAAATGTCTTAGCTTGAAAATGTTCGTCTCTCAGTGTCTGACTCTTGTGACCCCGTGGACTGTAGCCCGTCAGGGTCCTCTGCCCATGGAATTCTCTAGACAAGAACACTGAGTGTGCAGCCATTCCCTTCTCCAGGGGATCTTCCTGACCCAGGGATCAAACCTGGGTCTCCTGCATTGCGGGCAGATTCTTTACCATCTGAGCCACCAAGGAAGCCTAAGTTGTTTGCTGCTAAGTCGCGTCAGTCGTGTCCAACTCTGTGCAACCCTATAGACGGCAGCCCACCAGGCTCCGCCATCCCTGGGATTCTTTAGGCAAGAATACTGGAGTGGGTTGCCATTTCCTTCCCCAATGCAGGAAAGTGAAAAGTGAAAGTGAAGTTGCTCAGTCGTGTCCGACTCGTAGCGACCCCATGGACTGCAGCTTATCAGGATCCTCCGTCCATGGGATTTTCCAGGCAAGCGTACTGGAGTGGGTTGCCATTGCCTTCTCCAGTCTAAGTTGTTTAAAGCGGTTAAATTCCACTGAGGCTTTCCAAGTTGGTTCAGGTAAGCTGTTAAGAAAGCATTTTGGTCTTGTTGGGCATTCTCGAGGTATTCTGGAGGGAACCTTCTTCTCAGTAAGCAGATCTTACCTTGGTTTGCTGAAAATGCTATTCATTAGGTTTTACAAGGTTGTGCTTTTTACCGGAAAATTATAAAGTTTTGTTGTGGCCTAAGAAGATTTTTTCTGGGCAGTGATTCTACCAACATTCTTGAGGAACTGCAGTTTGAGCATGAATTGCTAGTTTCTTCCTAACTTCCCAGCACTATCTCCTGAAGTGGGCTCACCCTGGTAATGCCTAACCAATGACACTCCTCCATTGTGCCGTGTAATTGCCTTCCTTTGTTCTTTCTTTCATCTGAACTTGCTGCTCTATTCCTCCCTGCATTTTAGCTTTTTCCTCGCCCATTATCATGTCAGACTCCATGTAGGAGTCATGTTCTCTAGGAACCCTCTTTGGAACCTCTCCTCTGTGCCTTCTAAGCCCCCTCTAAGGTAACAATTACATTATTTTCAAATGAGTTTATATGGTAGGTAAATTATTGCTATTCACTTGTTAAACATTCCAGGTTATGCACACCCTTGCTTATTTTGGGTGGGACCAGAAAGTTATGACCAACCTAGATAGCATATTAAAAAGCAGAGACATTACTTTTCCAACAAAGGTCTGTCTAGTCAAGGCTATGGTTTTTCCAGTGGTCATGTATGGATGTGAGAGTTGGACTGTGAAGAAAGCTGAGCGTCGAAGAATTAATGCTTTTGAGCTGTGGTGTTGGAAAAGTCCCTTGGACTGCAAGGAGATCCAACCAGTCCATCCTAAAGGAGATCAGTCCTGGGTGTTCACTGGAAGGACTGATGCTGAAACTGAAACTCCAATACTTTGGCCACCTCATGTGAAGAGTTGACTCACTGGAAAAGACCCTGATGCTGGGAGGGATTGGAGGCAGGAGGAGAAGGGGACAACAGAGGATGAGATGGCTGGATGGCATCACCAACTCGATGGACATGAGTCTGAGTAAACTCCGGGAGTTGGTGATTGACAGGGAGGCCTGGCGTGCTGCGATTCATGGGGTCACAAAGAGTTGGACACAACTGAGCGACTGAACTGAACTGAAGAAAGTAATTGTTTTTAAATGGGGTATAGGGGAATGTATGAAACAAGAATGACAGAATGCTGTAAACTGGTAAACCTGAATGATTGGTACTTTTCTTGTTATACTTTTCTCTCCATTTGTATATCCCTGGAGAAGGGAATGGCTGCCCACTCCAGTATTCTTGCCTGGAGAATTCCATCGACATAGGAGCCTGGTAGGCTACAGTCCACTTGTATATAGTTTATATCTGAAGTGTTCCAAATTAAAAGTTCAAAAATTAAAAACATTTTCATGTGTGACAAAATGCATATAAAATTTACCATCATAACCATTTTAAAGTGTAGAGTTCAGTGGTACTAAATATGTAATGTTGTGTTACCATCACCATCCACCCCCACAACTATTTTCATCTTGTAATATTGAATCTCTTATCTATACCCATTAAACAATAACTCCTCGTTCCCCCTTTCCCTGACAACCATCATTCTACTTTCTGTTTCTGTGATTTTTGACTATTCCAAATACCTCAAGTGAATGGAATCATACAGTATGTGACTTTTTGTGACTTATTTCACTTAGCATAATGTCCGTGAAGTTCATCCATGTTGTGGCATATTTCAGCATTTTTAAAACCAAATAGTATGCCATTTATGTACAACAGATATATACCACATTTTGCTTATCCATTCATCCGCTGATGAACACTTGGATTGCTTCTACATTTTAGCTGTCTTGAATAGTGCCAGGAACATGGGTGTGACAATATCTCTAAGATCCTGCTCTCAGTTCTTTTGAGTATATACCAAGAAGCACAATTACTGGATCATATGGTAATTCTATTTTTAATTTTTTTAAGGAACTGACATGTTATTTTCCAGAGCGGCTGTACCGTTTTACATTCCCACCAACAGTGCACAAGCATGCCAATTCCAGAGCTAATTTCTATGTGGCTTCAAAAATGTTCATTTAAACCCGAGAGATTAAAGACTCAAAAGGGCAAATTCTTTAGGAAACTCAGTATGATCACATATACACAATACTATGGTTTTATTATAGTAACCACTGTGTGTCTACCCTGTACCACGTACTTCAACACTTTACCTGGATGCTAATCTTTATATGATTCTAATTCTTGTAACCTTTCAAGATAAGTATCGTAACCTCCATTTTACAAATGAGGCTAAAGATTAAATGACTCATCCAAGGTTATACCTCTAACAACAGTGACCCAACCAGTACTCATACCCAGGTCTCACTCCAAGCCTATTCCACAGTATCAAGGGACTATTGGAATTTCGTATACTGCCTTTTTTAAAAATATTTTTCCCCTCTGGTAAATTTCCCCATGATGAAGGCAAAGGGGAAGTATAAACGGAAGTTCCTTTAGGATTAGTCAGGTGAGCAGCTGCATTCGCCCTTACCAAGATGTTCATGGGCTTTGTGGGCTCAGCTGGTAAAGAATCTGCTTGCAATGCCGGAGACCTGGGTTCGATCCCTGGGCTGGGAAGATCCCCTGGAGAATGAAAAGGATACCCACTCCAGTATTCTGGCCTGGAGAATTCCATGGGGTCAAAAAGAGTAGGACACAACTGAGTGATTTTCACTTTTCGCTTTGTGGGGGAGTTACACGGTAAACATGTGGCCTCCACAAGGCAGATAAACGAGGATGAGATGAAGAGTGCGGGAAAAGGGTTTCACTGGGTCTTTCAACTTCATTCTTAATCGCTATTTTCGTAGACCCCCCTACACCGGGGCGGGAAAGCGTTCGTGCAAATGTGGCGAGGAAGGATGGGTGGAGGAGGAAAGCTTTCCAGCCAAGCGCAGTTGCCAGGACAGCGCTGCCCGAGCCGCAACGGCAGAAGCTGCACCGCGTCCCGGCAGCGGCTGCGAGCCCCAGTGACGCATTGCAGGTACGAACCAGCCAATCAGAGGAGGGCTCAACGATCATCGCGCTGGGCGTCGCTACTACGATGCTCTTCCGCGCCGCAAAGTAGCGCCTCTCAGGCGCCACTCCACCGGCTCTTCAACGGCTCGCTAGGGAGTGAAACACAGTTACGTCATCCGTTCGTCCCCTTCCCTTTATCTTTTGCATCGTCTATCACATAATTGTGGATAAAAGGGTCTCGAGAGGAGTTGGGAGGGGAGGGGGTTGGCCGGGACTCGTTTATGATGTTCCGTTATCTGAAGTGTGGCGGAGGGATCTGGCGGAGGGAGGTGTTTATGAGGCGCTGGGGGCGGAGGGGAGAATTAGTCCGAGTGGAGCGAGCGAGCTGACTGGTTGTGTGGTTGCGTCCCGGAGACCGGTAGCGCTTGCAGCATGGTGAGTGCGTCGCTAAGCTGCGGGCGCTCGGCCTGTAGGGGGGTAAGAGGCTGAAGCGAACTGACGAAAGGGAACTAACCTTTCTCACACTCTTTAGGAGTGGTCTTCGCCAGGGGGATGGCGCGCCAGAGGCTGGGGGCGTCCGCGGCGGTTGTGTCGCAGGTGCTTCCCAACCCCCACTCTCCTCAGGGAGGTGTCCCGTGGTGTACTGGGGGCCAGGCGCACCGCCCCCGGGACCTTGGGGCACCTTAGAGGCTGGATGTGTATGGAGCTGGGGCGGGGGCAGCCGGGGTAGGCGAGGGTTAAAGGGCGGGAGGAGCCGGAGCGCAGAAGCCTTGGGTCGGGCATCTCAAAAGGTCAGCCAGGGGCCGTATTCAAAAGCCCAACGGACGGTTGGTGCGGGCGCCAGGAAGCGCCTTTGTCCGCGCGCGGCCGCCATGCGCCGAGGGGGCGGGCGGGAGCACTACATATGGGCCTTGAGGCCTAATTCCAGCTCGCAGGCTAAATATTTCTAAAAAAATTTTAAGTGGTTTTGTCGTTGAAGGAAATGACTATATCTGAAGTCAGGCGCAGCCTCGCACTGCGCATCTCGTTAGAGAAAGCCAGAGACTCCAGCTGGCGTTTGAAAGGCGTTTTTCTATTCACTCACCGAAAGCCAGCTCCGGGGTGACTCCCGTTCTGTTGCCAAAGTCGATCTTACCCTCTAGTAACAATCGGAAGGATGCCTTTGACAGGGGCCACAGTCCTCTTCTGAGTGCTCACGTGCACGTTGAAATGTTTAAGATCCCTTAACACTGTATTGCCCCGCTCCAACACCCTTGAAAATAACTCCTTTTAACCGTAGCGAAAATGCCAGGTTATTTTTTAGGTGCGGTTTAATTCATTTGTACATTAATGGCTGTCAAAGACTATCGTGACAGAAGAGTATATTGGGGGACGGGATTTTTAAAAAGCATTTTCCTGTCACTTGAGACCGGAACTCCTGTTCTTTCCTGTTTAAAAAAAGTCTAATGAGAGCGGTAATTTGCAATACTTATTTTGTGGTTCCTTCTGCCAAGTGGTTACAGGCGATGGGTGTGTCCAGGAGGCAAGGTGACATCTTAAACAGGAGTTGGGAATCCTTGCCAACTGAAACCTCCACCCTGTTATGGGTGTGGGGAGAGGAGTTCACATTTGTTTGATGTACTCGTTCCATTTTGATATTTTAATTATTTTATTCTAAATTTGAATATGCTGGTGGAATTTATTCTTTTAGGTGAAAATAGGCGTGTAATTAAGGTTCTGAATTGTGGGGTGAATTTTTTATATTAAGTAAATGAAAAATAAGTTTTGTTTCTAATCAGTCTGATAATTAAATCAAGATCTCAGATTTTCTTGATGAGGCACAGTTTGTATCTAACCTTTCGTGGTCCTTTGCCAAAAGTAAGCTCTTGTAGTTACTGATCACATCATTACTGTTTTGAGTTATTGTTAACTAAATATTGGGGACTCATCCTTGCTAAGTCACTTCAGTTGTGTCAAGACTCTTTGCAATCTTATGGACTGTAGCCCTCCAGGCTCCTCTGTCCATGGGATTCTCCCTGCAAAAACACTGAAGTGGGTTGCCCTTTCCTACTCCAGGGGATCTTCCCAACCCAAGGATCGAACCCTCCTGTCTTATGTCTCCTGCATTGGCAGACAGGTTCTTTACCGCTGGCGTAGGTAATTTTATAATTATAAGACCTGAAGGTTTAAAATTAGGACTCCATAAAGTCAAAGAATGAACATTTATTTGATACGGATTAAGTTTGCTCACGTGGCTCTTGGGTTTACACATAGGTGATACATGGTCGTTGAAAGGGAGATTGATTAAGAAGACTTGAAGCAGGGGTGATGAGATAAGTAAAAGATGTGAAGATGTGGAACTTTTGGTCACTTGAATCTAAATAAATACCCATCGAACAGCAAGAAGATCTGTTTCTGTTAGACTAAAGAAATTATTTATGCCACTATTAAAGTATTGAAAGTTCTAGGTTCGGGTAGACTGATCAAATTAGGCCTTTAGTAAAGGTCCTAATTTTTAAGTAATTTCTTCTAGTTTCCCCTTTGGGCCAAGATACTGTATAGTAAGTGCTGTTCTATCAGAATTAAAGGTATCTTTTAAATTCTGTTGAAATAACTTAGAGGCTGCTTTTAATATAGGTGAAACAAATGCCCTGACTTCTGAAACTAGAAAAATTTTTGCTTAGCATGGAAGCCTTTGTTGTATCTAAGAAATACTTGGAGTAAACAGGAATGAATGCAAAACGAAAGCGTGTTCCATTTCAAGCCTATGGACTCACATTTATTGAGATAAGAATTTTGGATTGTTTTTATAAAAGCAGGTATCCATACCTGCTTTTGAATGCCATTTGGGAAATGTTAAATAGGTACATAATTCCCTTAAGGTCACACATGTAGTCTAGAGTAGTGGACTCTGTTTTTCTCAGTGTTTACAAATCACCTGTGGTTCTCAAAATGCACAGTCTAGTCCAGTAAGTCTCAGCTGGAACCTAAGCATATACTAACGTTTGGGAGCTTTCTCTAGAGTTGACAGTAGCAGTTGAAAGCGATATTTGTAGAAATAAAGGAGTAAGAAGTAGTCATCTCTCTAGTGAATTACTCTTCACTGAGGTAAACACATTTTAATGAGCTTGAGTTTTCCCAAAAGTATAATTCTTCTAGTTCTTCTACTAAGAAAATGACCCTATGCATAGACAAAAATAAGAACCACATTTATTTGCATGTCATTGGAAAAAGCTTACAAATTACAGTGCTAGGGAGCTTTGTGTTTTTACTTTCAGTAGTCTTTAGTCTGAAAGTTACTGATGAAGGTTATTTTAAAGCCTTGGACTCTGGGTTAGTAGTAAATACAAAAGGTTTTTTTCTTCCTAAAGCCTTCTCAGCTTTCATATGTGACTCTTCCCAAAATCTCCTCTGTTTCAACTTGTTGGAAAAACCCCACTGTCTCAGTTTCTGCATGTAGCAGTCATTCTTTCAGCTTTCATATATATTCCTGTGTTTTACACACTTTTGGGTTAACATTTTTAGTCCTAAACTGATTTCTCCTGCCCCATTTGTTCCTGGGCTTGTGGCCTCAGTTTGTGGAAATAGATTTTCTCATCTTAAAGCAAAGTTAAAAAGGAACATGGAGAGTTTGCTGTAAAGGGCTTGATAATGCCCCACCTGTCTACCTTCACTGGAAGTTGAACTAGTCAGGTTGGTGTTTATTATTAACATAGTAGGTTCTTTGGTTAATTAACTTACATAAAGTAATTTTCACTGAACTTTTGGGGCTAGCCCTTTATATATAGCTTCTAACTGCACAATGACTCTGCAAGGTAGGTATTAATATTCTGTGTTATAGGTGAAGTTGACAATGAGCGGTTGAATAACATGTCCAAGGTCACATGGTGGCAGAGCTGGGATACTAAACCAGTGATGCCTCAAAGCACCATGCTTTTTTTCTTCCACCATGCCATGTTACCCTTCTTGTAGAAATGATAGAAGTCCTGCAGGATGGAGTTAGACCAGAGGTAAATCATCTATAGCCTCTAACAAAGTAAAAAATAACAGTGGATGGGTTTTAATTCTTATTCATAGAGAACACAGTCTGATTTTATACCAAATACTTGGAGAATTGGGATATGTAAGGCTAAAAGTAGATTCTAAAGACCTTGCATTTGCTTCAAGGTCAAATCAAAATTGGTCACGCAAAGAAATTTCTTTTTTTCTGGGTTTCTTCTCAAATGCTTTCATGCTGTCCCCTAGAGAAAATGTGAATGCCATCCTGTATTAAGGTTATTATCCTTTCCCAGGGGTGTGTTCATTTAAAATGAAACCAGGCAGTGTTTATTTTTCTTTCATACCAATAAGTGAATGAATTAATCACAGTATTCTTGACTTCCTGTAGGTAGGAATGTTAGCTAGGAAGCTATTTCTTGTCAGTACCTCTGGATATATGTTCCAATAAGCAGTGCATGTCCACGGATGAAGGCCACATGAGAAACAGGGAACCTTGTTATTCTGCAAGTATCTTTATAGTGTGCTCTGAATTTAAAACTTGAGGTATTGGATATGTCCAACAAGTGTTTAATTCTGACCCTACATGTTAGTAATTTTGTACTCCTGCTCCCTGAAATTTAACCTTAGCCTTTTCCCCCATCTGTAAGATAGAGTATTAATGGTATTATTAATACCATTTAGGGTTGTGAAGATTGGATAAAAGCAACATATATAATGGGTTTCAGCAAATGCCTGAAGATGCTTTTTTTTTTTTTAAAGTAAAAACAAGTAAGTCCCCCCCCCCCCCCATTTGCTAAAAACATCACAAACCTTATCACTTTGGAATTTTAAACATCAAAAGAAAATGAATAAGTGGACTTAACATTTTGTAAATAATGTCCTTCAAATATTCAGAATCCTGGATTCTCTGCAGTTGCATGGCAGGTGAGGAGTAAAACTGGTAACTTTCATGTTGCCCCAACCAGTACAGCTTGGATTTTTATCTTTTTGATAGATAAGAGTTTTGCTTAGTAATCTTTGGGTTTTTTGAGGTTTGGAACAAACATCACATGTCCAAGTGAAGTATTTAATCACTTATAGGGAAAGTTTAAATGTAGTTCTTGTTTATTTTTGATTTGGTGGAGATTTCTGGTATTAATGGTTTTTATCTACCTGAGGAGATGAGCTTAAGTTTAGATATACTAACTTTGAAAAAGGAAACAATGCTTCTTTTGCATCTGTCCTTGCTTTAGAAGAGTACAGTTCCAATTAAACTTTGTACTGTTAGTGTGCTAGATTTGCTTTTTTAAAATTTATGTAAAATTTAGACTTTCGAATATATTCTGAAATATTTTCACATCTTAAACTTGGGGGCAAGGTAGCTTAGCTTTGGAGATAAACCAGAGCGTATTTTCTGCCCACCCATGTTTGGTACTAAGGAGTGAACTAAATGAAGTTGAGAAGTTTATGAAACCAGATGAACTCTTAAGTGTTTTAAAATTTGTTTCTGTAACTGTTAAACTATATACTGTCAAGCCACTTAACTATTTCTTTGATTTCTTTTTAGGCTGACCAACTGACTGAAGAGCAGATTGCAGGTGAGAAATAACTTTGCTAGGTTATACCCGTTGAATTTTATAAATTGAAAAGCCATTCTCAAAAAAAGATATTTGTATGAAAGAATTGACTTTGATCTGTGTAGTAGATGGGAACAAGTAAGTATAATGTAAGAGAGTAATTGAACCTGCTCTGGCAAGTGAGAAGGTAAACTTGACTGTGAAAGATGTGTGGGGCTAACTGTGGTTAAGAGACATGTTTTAGGTTATGTAGGTATACTTTTGAGCCTGGTGTTGGGAGGCTCTTTGTTTTGTTTTTCTTGAAGTTATTTTAGTCTAAAGATTAATTCTGGGCAGTTTTTAACTCTGCAACTTCAAATCAGTCTCCACAAGAAAAGAGGCCAAGTAGTAATTAACTTGAAATGTTAAAATCAGAAAATGAATGTTGAATATACCGTGGTTTAAAGTAGCTGATATTTTAACCTTAGAATTGCATATATGGTCAGTCAATCAGGGAATAACCGTTTCTCTAGTGAAAAACTTAGATCCAAAAGTTAGTATTCTGTTTTATAGATGCAGCAAGTTTGAGTTTTATCTTAAAAGCAGTGACAGCTATTGAAATGAGTTTAGAAGTCTTGTATCCTTTAGTTTGCTGTGGAAATGTGAAATTGTTACATAAAACCTGATGTCATCTTGTCATTATGCTGAACCAGTAGTACTTTTGATTTTATTCTAATATTTTTGAGGTGGCTAGTTAAGAAAAGGTTGGGGAAACTTCTAAATGTTTTTTTTTTTTTTAAATTTCAGGGTTGAAATGCTTTTCAAACTATTCCTTGACTTTGATTAGAGACTTAGTAATGAAAGCATCAGGCAGTTTTAACTGCAATGGTTTTCCTGATAGGCAAAGAGTTTCAAGTGCTCAAAAGCACTAAAGCTTTTTTTTTTTAAAGCTAGAGAAAACTGAGAAACCCAGTTGGAACTCTGGTATTACTTTACTACCCCACACTTCACACACAGACTTGGCAAAGCCAGAAATCAATAATCTCAAATTCTCATCACAGATAATATTTGCTTGGACTGTATAAAGTAGAAAGCTATTAGCATTGAGGACCAATTTGACAGGTTTTTTTTATTTCTTATGTGCATTTGACTTAAGCTGGGAATTTGCTGTTTCAGTTTGGTAAATTTGTGTGTATAGAGTATGTTGAAGTAGTCAAGCAGAGCTTTGGAGATGATTTCTTTTGTTCATATATAGTATTTTAGGTGTATTGATGAAATGTAAGTTATTCTGTAATAGTTTTTTATATATGACTCGGACTGTTATTTGCAATCTTAAGTTCTTACCTTCTCAAATAGACCTGTCTTCTTTGCCTTTGTTTCTCTGTAGTCTCAGGTAATTATGCATGGCACAGCATGTTCACTTTAGGGTAGATAGTGAATTATTCAAAGTGCCAGTTACATAGTTGGTGCTCATTACTCCTTTCCCAAACACACATACAACTCTTTAAAAAGTAGTTTGTGTCTGTTAAATACAAGAGGATCAATCCTCAATGGTTGATAGCATTTTTGTAAAGAATACTTAAAGTTCATGGAACATTGTCCTTAAGATAAATTCTGTCTTTTCATTGGTTCCTATCATACAATTAAACTCTAGTGAGTAGCAGAAAAATCTGTTCTTAGGTTCTTTGCTTACCCCACCTTTTCCTAGGCTTTTAATAAAGCTGTTATTGGAGCCCAGGTTTTAGTGAACCTTTAAAGTAGAGGAGCTAAAGCTTTTACGCTACTAAAATAAAAATCCTTATTTCCTCTTGTTTCCCCACTACCTCCCACACAGTAAGGACTGAGTAAATATTTCCTGAAGAGAGAAATTTTCAAAGATGTGTGCCACACAGATATGTTCTAAAGCAGTACCTACTCTATACTAACAATTACTCTGCCTCCTCCTAGAGTCCTTTACTTTTGAGTTGCAAAGTTGAATATACTAAGGTACTTTTTCAGTTAGCTTTATTTTCATATGCTGACTGATTTAAAATTCCTCTAGCAGGTAACTTGGCCTAGAAAAATGTACGCTTATAGTTTAAGTGAAGTGCCTAGAATTGTTTATGTTACCCTGGTGTTAAAGAGCAATCCAGAACAGTCTAGTGTGACATCAGTAATAACAAGTGAATTTTGTTGATGACTTGCAATGATGTCGTTAGTTGTTGGTATTTAAAGGAAAAATGTAAAATAATTTTTTTCTTTAAAGAAATTTATGCCTAAACTTTTAAATTTCGGTGTAGGGATAAAACTTACTTGATTAAAAAAAAGTACTAATTTTACTCAATAATAAAGGCCTTTAAGGATTTAACTATATGGCCTTTAAAGGATCATTAAGTTCAGAATTTTATAAATAAATAGAAATTGGTTAACAGGCATTAGATTTTTCTTGTTTCATGATAACCTGTTTTAATAATAATGTGAATTTATGTAAAACATAATTAGAGAGGTATCCTGTGGTTGCTAATGAAAATCTAAAACAAGTAATAATATGACTTCTGAAAGTTTCAACTTAGGCATAGCTAGAATAGATTTTGGGAGGTTCCATCGGTTATATTGAAGAAAGCTGTTCTGTGATAGGACCTGTTTTCTTACTGTGTATTGGAGTTTTGACTCCTAGGTTTATATTTCAAGTCATTTCTGGAAATTACTTGTTTAAAATGATATGCATCTATACATGAAGATTAAACAAGTTCTGAAGCACAGGTGGTGAGCTATAAAAGGTGAATTTAAATTGTATTTTTCAGTTTATTTTTATTTCAGGTTTTTACAGGTATTTCTGCCTGTTGAAATTTAGAACATACATAAATGTGTAGCATGCATCTTTCAGAATAGTTTTTGAAATTAAGTCATTTAGTAAAATGATTGTCTGATTATGATAGTTATATCTGATATTTCTAGACAGTATTTGTACCTCCTGTTTTTTAAAAAACTTGGGTAAAATGGAAGTATTTTCATCAAATTCTGCTCTTTGTAGGAATTACTGATTTACTTTTGTCATTGAATTGGTCTAGGTTAGTACTGCATATTTTCATAAGATTCAGTGGTTTGGTTCTAAGCTTCTAATATCAGGTGAGTTTCTCTGAAAACAAGTAACATTTAAATGGAGTGGACTGTTTAGCATTGAGAGTAAGTAGCACTTACTACAGTGATACTAGTCTAAAGCTAAACAATTAAAAGAATCAAAGCAGAAGAAAATAATGGGATAATCCAAAATGGTAATATGACTCAGGTACTTGTGTGGGTAATTTTAAATAAAGAACCCATTAGGAGGCTATTGTGGTAGTCCAGATAAAAGATGATGGGGCCATAAACCAAAATGTTGGATGTAGAGATGAAAAAAAAATCAGGCAGTATTTAAATAGCAGAATTCAGCAGGCCTTGTTTCAGGGGAAAAGAATTAAGGTAACTTGCTTGTGTTCTTAGGGTTGCTATATATGGAATTCATTTTAATTTTTTCCTTGAGGTCAGCTAGGGGCTGTAGGATGTCAGAAATAAAAATAATACTTTGAGAGAGATGAGTGGACTAACTGAAGTCTTCATCATTAGTGGGCGTAGACGAAATGGCCAAGGAGAGAGAAAAGGATAAGAAATTTGGTCAGATCTACATGCAGGAGACAAATAGCGAGACCCTTTGGCAGTGTAAGGTTACAGGAAAACGACATCATCTCTTTCTTGATATTTAAGTACTTGCCAGGCATAGTTCAATGTGCTTTACTTATATTAATTATTTGGGAAGTAGATACCAAGTGAACAAGTGAAAGTCGCTCAATCATGTCCAAATTCTTTGTGACCCCCATGGACTATACAGTCCATGGAATTCTCCAGACCAGAAAACTGGAGTGGGTAGCCTTTCTCTTCTCCAGGGGATCTTCCCAACCCAGGTCTCACATTGTACGTGGATTCTTTACCAGCTGAGCCACACGGGAAGGTACAATTTGCCCCAAGTAACAAAAATGAGGGACGCTGAGGTGGAAAATTTGCCCATGGTTCCATTACTAGTTAGTAGCAGAGCTGGAATTCTTTTAAGCCCAGGCAGTTGAGTTCCCGATTCTTTTAGTTTCTGTGCTTTATGTTTTTGTATTTACTTGCTGATTGAGCCTAATATCTCTATTCCTACTCGCTTTGTTATTAGCTCATTAATAGGCGCTCTTGCACTGTTAAAGTAAATCTCTAGTTTCTCTGTATTTGGGTATCCTAGACTGTTCTAGTAGCTTTCCATGTAATTTAGTGGTGAACTATTGATAGAAGCAACATCATTTCACAATAGTATCTTAAAGATTTTAGGCAATAATATATTTCATTTTGTTGCAAGCTCCGAATTTATATTCTGAAGAGAGGTCTAAATTATTTTTGTTTTCAGTGATAATAACAGTTAAAACTGGCCATACATACCTTTATCATCCCATTGTTAACATCATTACAGATTATTTGGTGATAGTCTCTTATGTCCTCCAGAAAAGGAAACTAGCTTAATGCATGTTCTAAAGTTTAAAGTTTTTTGTTTTTAATTTAGTAAGTGATTAAATGGACTTAATTTTTACTTTTAAGGATTACTGTAAGTAGTACAGTTGCTGTATAGAAATAAACGTACTTGGTAACAATGGTTTCCTTTTCTATTGTGAGTGCAGGTTAGATCTGTAATTGAATTGTGTTCCACAGAGCAGCTTCAACAGAAAATACAGAAGCCCGACATTTGGAGTTTTTAGGTTCTGCTTTTTCAACAATTTGACTTTTATCTAGTGTAGATTTTGGAGTCCCTGTGAGATTTTAGATGGAAAAAACTCCCAGGTAGATCAGTATGAGCATATGATTAGCTAAAAAAGCTTGAAATACCACAAGGTTTTCCACCTAATCCTTCAGGAATAAAAATCCCATTTCAAGTCCTATCTCCATATAATACCTTTGCTTTGAGAGTTGATTAATACATTTCGCTTAGGTTACTTTATTTTTAACCTGTACATTTTGACTGTGTTTTCTTTTCAAACAGAATTCAAAGAAGCTTTTTCACTATTTGACAAGGATGGTGATGGAACTATAACAACAAAGGAATTGGGAACTGTAATGAGGTCTCTTGGGCAGAATCCCACAGAAGCAGAGTTACAGGACATGATTAATGAAGTAGATGCTGATGGTACGTCTTTTTAATTCTGGGTTTGAGAAGAGGGAGTTGAAGAAGTGGCATTTAAATTCTATTGTAATACAATATTTCAAATATTGTAATATTTCAACGAACACCATCGCAGGTAATGGCACAATTGACTTCCCGGAATTTCTGACAATGATGGCAAGAAAAATGAAAGACACAGACAGTGAAGAAGAAATTAGAGAAGCATTCCGTGTGTTTGATAAGGTAAGTATTTGAAACTGGATTTGTTCCGTTTTAATTTGAGGATTTTTAAATATATTAGGATCTCTTAATCTTTGAAGACTTGTTTTTGTGATTATTTGCCAACATACTTTAATATCAAGCAAAAGCTTTCTGAGAATTTAGTGTAGAAGGAGATTTCCTAATAACATTCTTTACCGACTGAGCTATGAGGGAAGCCCAATAGTGTTGTGTGTGTGTGTGTGTGTGTGTGTGTGTGTATAATATATATATAGTATTAGTTTTGTGGCAGAAGAGGTATTGACTTTGGAACTAAGAAATAGTTAAATAAAGGTTTGTGTGGATTTCTGAAGTATATTTTGCTCCCGAATGTGAAGTTTAGTAAACTTCTTATCCAGCTCATTACATCTATAATATTGCTCAGACATTCTACTAAATTTTTTTGTAGGATGGTAATGGCTATATTAGTGCAGCAGAGCTCCGCCATGTGATGACAAACCTTGGAGAGAAGTTAACAGATGAAGAGGTTGATGAAATGATCAGGGAAGCAGATATTGATGGTGATGGTCAAGTAAACTATGAAGGTAAGTCTTTTCACTGTCACAGCCTTATCCTGTGCTTTACTATCAGATTCTACCCTTTTAAAAGAAGCACTGCATTCCAAACTAGGATAAGACAATTTATGGTAACCATTGTGGAACAGTTTGAAGAGCTTCTTCTAACTTATTTCAGGATCCTCAGAATTAAGGTGACTTTAATGTCTTTCATTGGATTCTCCTTCCCTCCAATTAGCTTTAAGTCTGAAATTATATATGCTTCAGAAGTATCATATATGGTAAACTAAAGCAATAATTTGGTTTATTTGTTAATAATCATAAGTAATTTTTGATTTATGAAGAATCCAGCCTTAGCAGTAAATTAGCTTTCCTCTGTACTTTATAATTTTGAGGAAAGACAGGGGAGTGGGAACTGCTCAGTAGTTGAGTAAGTGTGATTGGTTTTGACAGACTTTTGCCACTGACTCAACATCTTTGTATACTTCTTCTTTTTCAGAGTTTGTACAAATGATGACAGCAAAGTGAAGACATTGTACAGAATGTGTTAAATTTCTTGTACAAAATTGTTTATTTGCCTTTTCTTTGTTTGTAACTTATCTGTAAAAGGTTTCCCCCTACTGTCAAAAAAAATATGCATGTATAGTAATTAGGACTTATACACTATTTTTTTGTACTGCTGGTCCTATACCAGAAACATTTTCTTTTATTGTTAACTTGCTTTTTAAACTTTGTTTTAGCCACTTAAAGAAAATCTGCTTATGGCACAATTTGCCTCAAATCCATTCCAAGTTGTATATTTGTTTTCCAATAAAAAAATTACAATTTACCCAACTGTTGCTCTGAATCTGAGTCATTTAATTAATTTGATGTTGAACAATTTTGATAGTCAAATTGGGGGTGTAATTTCTTCTACTTGGTATAATTTAGATATTTAATTTTTTTTTTTTTTTTTTTTTTTTACTATTTAAGACGGTGGTTAGTTTTTAGATTGTGATACTTCCTTCAAAAGGTTTAACTGAAAGATTAAAAAATCTTGTATAAGTGTACCTAGCATGGGGACTGACGTAGGTATTCAGTGTTGCCTACTTTTATAATTTACAGCTTTGGCTTCCATATTGACTTCAGCCATGCAGTGATTTTTTTAAATATTTGGGCTTTAAAACACAAAAATCCAAATTGGAGCAGGGGATAGTTGTTTTACCTGTTTTCTGATTTTTACTCAGTGCTTTTTAATTCTACTACCATAAAAGAAAGAATTTTCTGTTGTGCTTAACTGTCTTCAACATGTTTTACAAATAAGATATCTTTGGTGGTGGCTTGATAGTAACTTTGTTACTAATAAACTTTGTTTTATTTAGAAGTTTTCCTTGCTTCTAAACTATTGCTTTCTTTGTACAAAAGGTGGCTATCAAGGTTTCTGTTTTTCTAATTACTTTTAAATACTTAATGAAAGATTCCATAGCAAACCAGAGCCAGGATGAAAACAATGAAGTATATTCCTTGATTATTGTAGCCACAAGGTTTTTAATTTCCTAGAGGGCGATTTGTTTGACAGGTTACCATGCATTGTTGACTACTTTAATACCAATGTTACTCTGCCAGAAAACTGGATGATCGTGAAGGAAAAGATAGGACAAGGGAAGTTACAGGAATTGGTCATCTTAATAGGGTGTTACTACATATTAGGCAGGCGATAAATAGGAAGACCTTCATTAGATACGAGTTTCATGTGTTTTGTGTGCTATTGAGGCACAATAATCTCCAGAATATTAAACATGGGCTTATTGAAGCAGTAGTCAGATCACTGCTCTGTATAACCTTGAAGAGGGCAATACTACCTGAACCTCACTTATCTTACATGTAAAATGGGTGTAATTTACCCAGGTGGTTTCTGACTTGGCTTTTATAATAATCTTAGGTAAAGCACTTAGCATAGAGCCAGACATGACTGAGCACACACACACACACACAGCACTTAGCATAGTTCTTAGTATTTGTATTATATCTATGCTGTTAATCAGTTACGATCCTTGTAAAATGAGGGAATTAGGCAAAGTTAATATTGGTGCTTTTCTAGTTCCGATAGTTTGGAGTTGGTAAGGTGGAAGGGGAAAACATGGTTTGTGGTTACTTGCGTGCATCTCATTGCTGATTTTATATTGTAGTCTTCATAAAAGTCACACAGTTAAGCATTACATAATCTTACTCAAATCAGAACTATAAAAACCGTTTATTTAAAGTCAACCATATTATGTTTTATATTAGAAGCATCATAGTAATTATTAATTTTTTCTCAAATCTGTAGCATGTTTGCTTTCAGATGGTTAACCAAACTATCACTGTGCAGTTAAAAATGATTCTACAATATGAGGTATTTTATCTAGAATTTTAAAAAATGTGATGCATAGCATAGGCACTGTTGATCTCTACATAGTATAATCTTGTATTCACAAAGAGAATGGCCTCCTCCCTTTAAAACTGCTGTTATGGTAACCTGAAAATCAAACAGTATACTGTACAAGACTGTTTTCTTAAGGGGACATTTTGTTTATTCTACATACTTAGTCTGTTTTATTGGCAAAGTCCTTGAAATCATTGACCCATGCTGTTTCTATTTTTGCAGTACCCAAAACTATTTTCTCATCTAGGTGTTCCCTTATATTTCATACCTTCTATGGGTTTCTGGACTTCTCTGTACCTTTCATCATATTCAGTCTCTAGGGTACCAGTCCCTAGTCTGCTGAGCCAGTTTTACAGGCTCAGCCAAAATAAGAAAGTAAAATGAGGCACAATGATGGACTGGCTTAATCACTTTTGGTGAAAGTTCTGTATTTAACTTGTCTCTTGGTCTTACGACTTCAGCTTTTTATTTCAAACCTGGTGCCTGGCTCCTCCTGCCCTTTTTCCTATTTTTAAGGCTATGTTAAATGAATTTATTGAATAGTCCCAGTATTTTAGGAGAAATTTAATGGTGTCCTCTCTTGCTACCCAGAAAAGTCACCCACACAATCACCTGTGAGAACTTGTTAGAGAATCTGTCTGTATTTTAACAATATTTCCAGATACTTCATGTGCATATTTGGAAAGTGCTACTATAGTCCATTTTCTGGTTTTAACTTATAAAAAGAAAACTTCCTGTGTTGAAAGGGCTGAGAATTAGGACAAAAACCTGTTTTGGATATGTTTCAAATTAGGGGAGACATGATTTGTCACAATGAGTCCCTCTATAAAGATAGGCACAGGGTCCTTCAGGTGACTTAAAGGAGTTGACCCTTGAGGGATGCCAGGCCATGAAGAAGGGAGTAGCATTTCAAGCTGAAGGGTCAGCATTTGGGGAGACATGGTGGGTGGCATGTTTGGAATTTGTAAGTATACATCAGATCAGGAGGTTCTAATGGGAAGAGGAGACTAGATGGTAAGTTTTGCTTTTGTTCTAAAGGCAATGATTATTGAATGCATTGTGCCAGATCGTTCCAGATTTCAATGAAGTTAATCATAAATACCCCATGTGGGTACCAATATATTTCACCTCTATAGACAAACACAAATCAGCAAATAAAAATCCTGGTAAGGGAGAAGAGGGATTCAAGAAGAATGGAAAAGAGGAATCAATGCAGTGATGAACTGAAGTCAAGCTTGCTAAGAGCTTGAAAAATCCCCATTGATTTTGGCAACTGAATAACTGGCTAGTTTATTTACTAAGTGCAGTTTTTAACTTAAAAGATGTGTGATGTCAGATTAAGATAGTTTCAGGGAAGTATGGGGCAGGTTAAGAAAGAAATGAATCCACACTGCTCTTGAAAGTGTGACAGGAAGCAGAAACTCCATGGTATAGTAGACGGTTGGGGGCACTGGAGTCAGGCCTGGATTTGAACTCTGTTCTGCCACTGTTGTGTGATGCAGAGTCTGCTGTGCTAAACTGTCCAAGGAAGCCTGTTTCCTCCTTCATAAAATGGGATTGATACTTATTTCACAGGGTTATTTTGAGGATTAAATACATGCGAAGTATTTGGCACACGGCAGGTATTCCATAAAATCAAACTATTAAGGTTGAGGGGACGTTTGTTTTTAAAGATGGAAATGTATATAGGTTGAGGAGCTACAGCCAAGATACGCTGACAATGAAGAGGGTCTATAAAGAGGGTAAAGGGTGGTCTGTGGTTTCACAGACTGTTGTATCTAGAGCTCATGGCCCTTCTCAAAGCAGTGACACTCCAGAAATTTCCTTCTGGATAAATTTAGAAACTGATGCTAAGGTTGATTTTTCCTCAGCATGGAGGTGATTTGGGAAAGGGCTGATGGAGATCTTGGGATGCTCTAGCTCCTTTACAAGCCTCCTTGGCACAGGCTCTTGGTGACTCCTGAGCCCTCTAGATTTTCTTACCATGCACGGGCGTGACGGTCTTGACCGATTTCGCTAGGCTTGGCGCGGGCCCTCCAAGTGTGTGCCTACCTCCCTTCCCCCACCACCAGAGCCAAACCTACTGGCAGGTCTCCTGCGCATGCTCGGGAGCCGGCGAACCGAGGCGTCTCCTGGCAACCGGACGCCAGCCTCTGCCTAGAGTGAAAAGGCAGCAATGGATCAGTCTATCGCCATCACCTCCACCGCAGTAAGGAAGACCTGAGGCATGGGGCTTCTGCCTTGGCCTCGGTACCGCCTGCCTTCCTTGCCTTCAATTCTCAAAACACTGTTACCCCTGCTGGGCTCTGCCAAAAACACCAGCTGTCTCTATTCCTGGGTCCTTGGGCCCCTCCGCTCCCTACCTTCACGTGTACGCTTGCAGTCCTTTCTTCCTGATCACTGAGTGCCCTTCGTTTGCTTTTCTCCTGCCTAGCTCTCACTTATCCTTACCCTTTGTGCTTTGTTTTCTGTCCTGGTTCCCATCCTCCACCCCCCATCTCAACCTACTGCTACTTGCGCTGGACAACTGCTTTAACAGGATTCTTAGATTTCTTCGTTTCCCTCCCTCCGCCTCCTCCCCCACTCCCCCACTGTCTGCCAGGGGAATGGGTTTTTCCTTCCTTGGTCTATTGGACACGTTTTTGCCTTGCTTCCTACTGTAGTATTTATAAAATATTGTAAACTGTCTTGTTTAGTTTTTAAATAAATTTGGGTGAGGGATGTTTAGCCTAACTTGAGTAAAGTAATTCACCCCTGAAGTGAATATGAAGTGGGAGACAGGGGAAGTTGAGGTCACCTGTCTTGGGCTAAACAAAACAGCAGCTGCCAGGTACCTTCCTTCAGATGTATCATGTTTACTTTTCCCTTCTTCCCACTTCATTTCCCTGGTCCTAGGTAGTGGTGGAGACCTGTCTTAACTTGCCTGAAGAAGTTCAATTTCTGTGTCTATAACTGTCCAACAGAGAAGATTCAACATAAATCTAATAAAGGGAATGTATAGGAAGAAATTCAGACTTAGCAGTGCATATGAAGCAATGCTTTTTCAGAGAAATGCTTATATTTCATAGTAAAACTGAAGCCCAGGGTTACTTATACGTGGATATATGTTAGGAAGAATGAATTATATCAGTTTACTGATTAGATTATTATTTTTAATGCCTTGTTGCTTGAGATGACCTGTATTTCATAGCAATTAAAAAAGCATTCTAAATGAAAGTAAAACTCAGCATTTTAAAGATTTTACCTAGTGGAAGTAACAAAAGGAAAAAACTAAGCAACTGTGTTCTGTTGTCCTCACTGTTGACAGTGAAGCCGAAACAAATATGGGATAATGATAAGTGGATGTACTTTAGAGTACTTAGAGTGTAAGACGAGAGTGGCCTTGGAAACTGAGGAATATAAAAATAATTTTCTTCTTAACTTGGCAGATGAGGTATTAAAAATAAAAGCCACCACTTACTGAGTCCTGGTTGTGGGTACAGGTCTTTATGATGCCTTATTTTTGTGCCAACTCTGGTGCCTTTTGTTGTCCTCCTAAGAGAAAGCTGAGGTTCATGGGGGTTAACTTGCCTAGTACACCCAGGTAGTTGCTGAGCTGGAGTTCAAGCCCAAATCATAGCATATGGAAATCTAGAAAATGGCACTTTCAACATTTGCTATATGGCCAGGAATTTGAACCCCAATATTATATTAATTGGATGTCTATACATTTTTACCTTGAGCTCCCTGAACCATAAATCGTAATAACATTTATGCAGTTTTGGGTTTACATAACTCTTTGCTTCCTGCTGCTGCTAAGTTGCTTCAGTCATGTCCGACTCTGTGCAGCCCCAGAGACGGCAGCCCACCAGGGTCTCCCATCCCTGGGATTCTCCAGGCAAGAATGCTGAAGTGGGTTGCCATTCCCTTCTCCAATGCGTGGAACTGAAATGTGAAAGTGAAGCCACCCAGTTGTGTCCGACTCATAGCGACACCATGGACTGCAGCCTGCCAGGCTCCTCCGTCCATGGGATTTTCCAGGCAAGAGTACTGGAGTGGGTTGCCATTGCCTTCTCTGCTTTGCTTCCTAAGAGCACCAAATTTTGTCACCTAATTATTCTTATGACATCTTGGTGAGATGGGGACGTTTCCGTTCAGTTCAATTGCTCAGTCGTGTTCAACTCCTTGCGACCTCGTGGACTGCAGCACGCCAGGCTTCCCTGTCCATCACCAGCTCCTGAAGTGTCCTCAAACTCCATCAAGTTTGTGATGCTGTCGAGTTGGTGATGCCATCTAACCATCTCGTCCTCTGATGGGGATGTTTATTACTCTAATTTACCCAAAGGAAATTTAGATACTTAAAAAGCACTTAAGATCTTAAAATAGCAATTTAAGGAAATATAGGCAAAATTGATTATGGAGCTCTTGTTTTCATTCAGGGTGACCAGTTTCATACAGTATCAGTTTCTTCAAGTACATGTTTTATAAGTGATATTTAACTTCTAGTGATCACTTCTGAAATGAATAAGCATATTTTTATGTTTATTAATAGAAACCAACTCAGAAGTCATCTTTTGAAAGAGAAGGATGGTGGAGAATAGCATTAACAGTATGTATATTTTCATCCTTTCCTATTTCCTATTTAAATCAGTATTTGAGTCTGACCTTTTAAATCACTAATACTTAATTTTAAGGAAACAATGGTGGTTCCAATCTACCTGGGCTCGTTTTATATTTATAATTTTAGTATCAGACATGACCGAGAAACTAAACTTTGAATGCAGTAAAAGCTTGGAAGTAAAACAACTATAGGAGTCTAGGTGTTTTACACTACAGGTTATCTTGATAAAGTCAGCTAAGCTTACACATTCTGGAAAGGTGTTTGACTTCAGTTTTTATCTTATTTAAAAAGTAAGAGCCTATGATAGCTTGTGTTAACATGGTCAATGTGTGAAAGCAAGATGGTGATATATGAAAGAAAGATGACCAGAAGATCCTTCTCTCAAGATACATTATTTCTGTATGGCAGAAATATTTTCTATTCACACCTTTCCATAACAGAGGGGCCCTAGGGACCAAAGCCTCTTTGGAACTGAACTAATTTTAATGGTATAACTGAGTCAAGTGCTCAGTGGGAAGATGGCCATTCAGCCATACTGTGGTTGTGATCTGAAAGTCCCAAACCTCTTCTTGGATTAATTAGACCATATGTTCTGCCAGTTCACCCTCAGTCTTATGTTATTATCCTGTAGCTTCTCACTTGAGGGTTAGAAAGAAACACATGGTATCTACTAAACTGAAGTAGGATAACTTCTATTTAGTCATGAAACTTATCCAGAAGGTTTTCATGAGAGACCTGACATTTATAGTCAAATAGAATCTCAAATTTAAGTATCTTTGAGGCTACTTTTTAAAAAGTTAAAGCTTTACCTATGGCCATAACCCATTTGCTATAGTTAAGCAATTGTCGCAGAAAGGAAATCATCATGATTGTCTTGAAATGTTGTTCTGTGGGGAGTGTTTACTTGATGGAATTTTATTAAAACATTTCTCTTAAGTAAAACAAAGAGAAATACTACTTAGGAGTGACCTTTGAAAGAATTATGCTTTAGGAGATGTTACCAGTTTAACATACTAACTTGAAAAATGATATCAATTCTCCACAGAACACTCCTAATCCTGGCACTTACCACTTGAAAACTTTTATTGAAGAATCCCTGTTAAATCCAGTGATAGCAACCTACAATTTTAAAAATGAAGGAAGGAAAAAACCACCTCTTTTGCAAAGAAATGATCCGGTGCTGAATGACCTTCCCCAGTACATGCCTCCTGACTTCTTGGAGTTGTTAAAGAAGCAAGTGGCCACTTACTCATTTAAGGACAAACCGCGGTCAAGCCCCAGCATGCTGGTTTACAGAGATCAGGTAAAGTGCTGGTAGCAGTTGGCTTTGTGTGGGAAAGCTATCAAGAGGCCCAGAAGAAAATATTCTCTATACTTAGATTGTATCTTCCCCAGGAGAAACTGAAAATCTGTAGGATGCCATATTTCTTCCAGAAATCAAACAAAGCGTGCTTCACTTGCAAATACGTCCAGCAAGATGTTTCCCTTCTCAACCTAATGTGGACACAGGAAATTTTTTTTCCCTTGCTGGGGACTCTTGGTAGGATTCCCCGGACTTGGAGTCTTATCTATGATGGGGCCATGCTTCTGGTCTCTTCAAGCGGTTGATATGGTATGTCCTTTTTTTTAAAGAGAAAACTGCCTTTCAGTGAGTAGTCCTCATATTAGAGTGTGAATATGACTGTACACCATAGGAAAGCTTTTGCAAGAATTTCTAGCAGAAATGAGCATTGTGATATCAGAATGCATCACATTAAGGATACTGAGCACAGCTTCTTAGAGCCCTGGGCTAGGTTCTGTAAAGGGAAGATGTTCCTGACTTAGAAATATTTAAGTAACAATATAAGAGCAAATAGATCAAGTGCTAAGATAGATGTGTAGCAGGAAAGGCCTAGAGAGAGCTCAGTGAAGGTGGCATTGAAAGGCTAGAACGCTCCCTGGATTGAGTAGGACTGAAGTTGGACCTTGGATACTATATAACATTCCTGTGGCTCTTAATAATTTACTGTAAGCTTCCACATATATTCTGTTAGTAGTTCTTCCCAGGCATTCTGAAATAGGCAAGATGGATTTTACCCCCATTTTACAGATGAGAAAACTGAGGTGAATAGGGATGAAGTAATTGGTTGCAACGTGCATAGCTTATAAAGAAGGCAGTGCTTTTTTATGGTTGACCTAATTTTATTCTGTTATTATTTTTTATTAAGTTATCATTAGATAGCATCACCGGCTCAAGGAAATGGATTTGAGCAAGCTCCAGGAGATAGAGAAGGACAGGGAAGCCTGTGCAAGCTGTACTTTTCACTGAGGGCTTCTGAGCCCCAGTTTGGTGCTCTTTCCAGTCTGTCTCGTGCCTCTGGCCTTGAATGAGGGGCAGGGTATCAGGGGGTGGATCCCAAAGGAGGCATTTCACAGAAGGGTGGAGTTGGGACATGGACTTTGTCATTTGGGACTTTGGGCCTTAATATCTTCTGTTTATAAAGGAGCTAATAATATGTATCAGTCTTTACAGCCTTATCAGGATAACATGATCATAACCTGAGACGATGCATTGCCACTTGGAGGTTGAAGTGAATGGAAGGGGTTGTGGTTATTAGGATGGACAAGAAATCTTCAGCAAAATGAACCCATGTTGTGTCCAAGCAATGAACCCTTCCTGGGGCTTTGCAAATTGTGGCTTTGAAACAGGACAGAATGATAAATGTTCACAGGGTAAATCTTATTCTGTTCGGTTCAGTGGATGAATACAAGCACTGAATTATACATAGACTTTTATGGCTTGGTATCAGGTAACCAGGCGACATGTGAAATTGTCTTGGCCACCTCCTATGCAAAAATCATTCTTCCTTAGCCTCCTCCACCATTTACTTCCTTTCTGCTTCCTCTCTTCTGACTTTTTGGGTTTCTGAGGGTAGACACAGGCCCACTGCTGAGAGAAGAAAAAAATAGATGGTTGGTCTTAGGCAAAATTTAATGCTTTAAAAGACCAAAAGAATTTGGCTTATCCAGAGGGATGGATAAAATGTTCTAAAAATACTTTCCTTATTTCTTTCTTTTCTTTCTCCTTTCTCTTCCACCTTCCAGAAAGGCTTGAGTTCCAGAAACTAGAAGAATTAAATGTTTTCCTAATTTTCTATTTCAAAGGTATAATATATTCACAAGAGGAGAGATATTCAGATGTAACCCTATTTACTCGCCAGTAAAGTTCATAATTCTGATTTTTTAATGGCAAAACTCAGTAAAACAGTCATTTGAATTCAAGGTAGATACAGTACACATTATAAACTTTATAATTCTTAATAGAATAGTCCCATTGTACCTCATTAATGCTGTTTTTTATTTGTAAGATTTTATTTATTTAACAACTTTATTCTGAAGCATATAATTCAACTGGAGAATCTGTATCGAAGGATCATATGTGTGTTTATATTTATATTTTAACGTGTGTGTGTCTGTGCATGGTGGTGGTTTAGTCGCTCAGTCGTGTCCGACTCTTTGTGCCCTCATGGACTGTAGCCTGCCAGGCTCCTCTGTCCATGGGATTTCCCAGGCAAGAATACTGGAGTGGCTTGCCATTTCCTTCTCCAGGGAATCTTCCCAACCCAGAAATTGAACCCACATCTCCTGCATTGCAGGCAGTCTTCTGCATTACAAATAGGTTCTTTACCACTGAATCACTAGGGGAGCCCCATGTCTGTGTGTATATTCATCTATATCTGGCTCTTTCCAAAGAGTATTTGATATGGACCTAAAATTTTTACAATCATTTTTTTCTTATCAGAGAAATACTATGTGTTTATTTTAGAATGTATATTCAAATATTCAAAAGTGGGACCATTTCTCTCACTATGTGGTTTTATGACCTAATTTTCCCCAGTGTTGCTAACCCCTGGGTTACTTACTCTACCTTATTTGTGGATGATTTTAGCTTCTTCTGCTCCCTGTCACTCTTTCCACTACTCCTGTCATAATTTCAGTACATTCAGACATGATGATTTTGCAACAATCTGGCTTCTCAGTTTTTTGAACTCTCCTTCACTTTAGCCACTCACTCCTTAGATATTTTCAACACCAATCATTTCAGCCATCCTTAATTTCAGTTGCATGCATCGCACTGTGTTCACTCTCCCCAAATCTTCTGCCTTGCTCACTCTGGCATCCCAACGTCAACAATTTTTCTGTTCCCCCCAGTCTTCAATCCATTGGTCCTGCTGTTATTGGAAAAATGGGTTTGCCTCTTGGTGGATGTTGAACCAAAAGATACAACCAAGCCAAAGAGCAGAGAAGGAAGGATTAACTTGCTGCTGCTCTCAAGGCCTCAAATCATTGTCATCCCTTGGGTGTTCCCACCATCCACAGGCTCTGGACCAGCTTGTGCAAGTCTTTGCATGTGCGTGCAGCATGTGTCTGTCCAAGACCCTATCTGCTTACACTACCACCTTTCATTGTCTCTCAACTTGCTAATATTTTCCTTCCTTTCAAAGGTTAAGTTCCATAGTTAATCATTTGAGTTACTCCCTGCACACAACCTCAATTCCTTGACCTTTGATGGCTTATCTTACTTGTTTGGCAAAGTCACAACCCTGGTCAGATCTCTTCTGAACTTGGAACCTGCATTTGTGTGGCTGAATGACTAGTCTCATTTTAAATTCTTTACCACCCATGGGTACAGAATTGTTGTTGTTCAGTCCCTAATCTGTTTACTCCCCCATTCTCCTGGGGTAGGTTTCTCTCACATCTTTCCTCTTTCCAAATCCTGAACACCTCCTCCTCAGTCCTCATTCTTTTTTTCTCTTCTCAGCCTTTTGGCTTGTTCAGCCCCTCCTTCCTGCCTTCTTCCATTTGGAGGCCCAGGCATGCATACCTCTTCCCCATCTGCTGTCACTGCCTGCTGATCTGATTTAGTCTCAAGGCTTTGAACACCAGCTGTTTGTGATTTCCAAATGTATATCTCCTGCCCAGACTTCTCTGTTGAACTCCAGGCTTGTATATCCAGCTGTTGTTTTGACTTCTCTGTTCTATGTCAAATTCAGGGTTTCTCACCCTTGGCTCTGCTGACTTTTTGGACAGGATAATTCTTTGTGGTAGGGGGCAGTCCTATGCTTTGTAGGATGTTTAACAGCATTTCAGGATAATTAGATGCCAATTAGCAGCCCCCGCTCCCAGTTCTTCTCTGGTAGCTCAGACAGTAAAGAATCTGCCTACAATGCAGACCTGGGTTCAATCCCTGGGTTGGGAAGATCCCCTGGAGGAGGGCATGGCAACCCACTCCAGTATTCTTGCCCGGAGAATCCCCATGGATAGAGAAGCCTGGTGGGCTACAGTCCATGGGGTCGCAAAGAGTTGGATTCGATTGAGCGATTAAGCATACCTCCCAGTTGCAACAACCAAAACTGTCTCCAGACATTGTTCAAATGTCCCCTGGGGAAGGAGGGAACTAAAAAAAAACAAACTTCTGATTGAGAACCTCTAGGTTTACTCTTTGTAATAGTGGGTGTGATCTCTGAGTGGCTCTTTTCAGGGCCAGCAGGTTGACGGTGAACTGGCTTCATCTGTGACCTCAACTCTTGTGTCTCCCCTCATTCTGGTCCTGACCAATGGCCTCCTTCTGGCTGTTTCTTGAATTTGCTACTCCCAATACAACCTCATGTCTTTGCAATGAATCTTCCTTCATCTGGAATGCTCTTATCACAAGTAGCCATGTGACTTATTCCCTCTCCATCTTCAAATCTTTGTTCAAGGGTCACTTTCTCAATGAGACTCATTTAAATTGGCCATCCGACACCCCTGACCTTTCCTGCCCTCCTCTTTTGTTTCCTTAGAACCTAGAGCCATCAGTATATTATATAATTTATTTACAGTTTGCATCTCTTATTTGTTGTCTGCCTCCTCCTATGAGAGTAAAGCTTTATGACGGCCTGAATACTTATCTGTTTTGTTCACTGTTACATTTTTGCCTCTAAAATAGTGTCTGATTGGTTAATATTTGTTGAATGCATGGATGAATTGATTGCTCGTATTTCTGAAATCTGACTGGACCTTCATCATTTTGTTTCCCTGGATGTGTGATTATCTTTGTGCATTGTTCATTGCTCCTGAAAGGTTTTTTCCATGGATTCCCTAAGATGAAAGTGTTTTTCCTTCAGAGAAAGTTTATTTTTGGTTTCTGCTAATGCTTAGGGTGGTGCCACTTGAAATACACTGCTTATATATTCTTGGGTCACTCTAGTGATGGGAATTTGGACCAGAATCCATGAAAGGAACCAGCCCATGGTTACACTCTTTCAAGGATGGGTTTCTCCC